AGAATGGTTGAAAACGAGGGTTCTCCCACCCTAAATATTTTAAGGTGGGGGACACTCCAACCCCAGGATCCCCCAACCCGGCAGGGCTGGTGGGGGAATTCTGGGAGTTGAAGTCCACCCACCTTAAAGTTGCTGAGGTTGAGGAACCCTGCTGTAAGAGACCAAAGGGTGAGGTGCAGGATGCTCTTTGGCTTCTTAAAACAAGCCACCATAAAAACATTTTTTTCTAATTAGCAGCTCAGCTAGTTGTCTGATCCTATCTATAGACTACTAAAATTCTCATGTCTGTCTGTAACTTCAAATTGGGTGAAACAGTGTGTCATAGGGCAACACTTTTTTAACCAAGGTACCTCAAATGGGCTAATTTACAGAATGCATCCAAAATCTGGGACCGATCACTCCCATGGGATTGAAATTTGGCAGTTTTGGCCGTTTCAGGTCATGTGATAGTCATTTCCCGCGCTCCCTGACAGCTTCCCACAAGTCAAGTGGGGAAGCCAGCAAGAAGTCTAAACTCAATTGTGATTGCCAATGCTCCCTGCCAGCTTCCCACAGGCAAAGTCAGTGGGGAAGCCAGCAGGAAGTTGCAAGTCCAAGGCCAGCAGGCAGGTAAGTGGCTGCTACCGGGTGGGGAGGGAGAGAGGGAAAGAAGGAAGGAAGGACGGACGGACAGACAGACATGGGAATGAGAAGAAGGAAGGGAGGGAAGGAAAGGAAGGAAGGAAGGATGGACATGGGAATGAGAAGAAGGAAGGAACAGGAGAGAAGGAAGGAGGGATGGATGGCAGACATGGGAATGAGAAGAAAGGAAGGGACAGGAGGGAAGGAAGGAAAGAAGGAAGGACATGGAATGAGAAGGAAGGAGGGAAGGAAGGACGGACAGACGGACATGGGAATGAGAAGGAAGAAAGGAACAGGGAAGGAGGGAGGGAAGAAAGAGGAAGGGAGGGAAGGAAGGAAGGAAAGAAGGAAGGAAGGAAGGAAGGACATGGGAATGAGAAGAAGGAAGGAAAGAAGGGGAGGAAGGGAGGGAGGGAGGGAGGGAGG